ACTCCTTAGTGCTCATGTGTGCTGGCACCATGACATTATTGTTATTGCGTTATAAAAACCCCAGTTCTGCTTAAGCTGGGAAACGTAAGGAAGCTTGATATTTTGGTTCCGCATGAACTCAAAGAAGTTCATTTGACGGCGTGTATAAACATCTGCAATATGTTCATTAAACGTGAGGAAAATGACCCATTTTTGAAGTGACTGATAACTGGTGATGAGAAGTGGATTATTTACAACAATGTGGTGCGCAAGCGGTCTTGGTCCTGACGTGATGATTCGCCTGAAACTGTTGTCGGAGAGTGGGCCTTTCTTGGCACAAACTGGAGCAAAGAATTGAACGAGATGCTGGAGTAAAGTAACTGAACAAAAAGTTTATTCGAAGAGCTAGTACATTTCAAAGAAATAGAAGTAGGCCCGAGCAGTAGAGAGTGGCTCAAGGACTCATTATTAGAAGAGAAATTACATTCCAAAGAGTTTGGAGCGGGCCACGCGCAAAGGCGAGGCTCAAAAAGCTCAGAAAAGGGAGGAGGGGGTTCAAAAAGGGAAGAAACAGTCAAAACAAAAGGGTAGACTTCCCAGGATTTGGAGTTTTTATCCCCTTTTCTCTAGAATGAACTGTTCCCTTCTGGGTGTGGGACTACTTGATTGGCACCCGTAATTGACAACAGGACCCATTTGTTTTAGAGGTAGATAGTTACAATGAAAAGAAGTTTTGGGTGGAGAGGGGAGGTCACCCGGGCGGTCACAACCTGTGGGACATGCAGGAATGCAGAGGCCCAATGCTTGCCTCTAACTGCCTGTCTAGTTTTCCCCTTGAGAGACGTGATTCCTATTAAATCTCTATGGGAAGCTGAGGGACAGGAGGTCTCTTCTTCTGTATCTGCTTCCTGCTGGACAGGGGCATAGAGCTGTCCCTGCCTATTGGGGGATTCACGGAACTCTCACCCTAGCTGATCTCAGATAAGAGGAAGGGGTCTCGAGCTCCACCTGGAAGACTGTGCTGGCTTCTTTGGTAGTGACTGGCAATCTTGCTGGGGTGTCATCTGTATCCCTAAGGCCCTTAAATGAGGAAAAATAGATTTTAATTAATAAATCTGTTAGCTCTACAATCTACTGTTTAGGATTCAGAAACTGATTTACAAAGCAATTAAGAAGCAGGGATGAGGAGGTCTTTAGTCTAGGATTCACAAACTGGTTAGAAAAGTAATCAAAGACAAGAGCTAAGGAACTAAGAAACTAGGGAGGAGACTTAACATTTCTATACTTAACATTCTTATAGGAAAGAAAACTTAAAAGTTTCTCAGTAGTGTGTGTGTGTGTGTGTGTGTGTGTGTACTCAATTGGCTGGTAACAAAACGACATTGAAAGCAGACATTCATTAGAGGAAGGTTATGCTCTCAGTGTGGTGGGATTTTAAAGGTGTCATGTTTTTCGAGCTCCTACCAAGGAACCGAACAATTAATTCGAATGTGTACTGTCAGCAATTGGACAGTTTGAACAAATCCATCATCCGGAAATGCCCAGGGCTTGTTAATTGTAAAGGAGTTGTGTTCCATCGTGACAATGCGAGATCACACACAAGTTTGATCACCCATCAAAAGTTATTGAAGCTTAGGTGGGATATGTTGCCACACCCACCATACTTGCCTGACCTTGCGCCGTCAGACTTCCACTTGTTTTGCTTTCTTCAAAACTTGTGTGATATAACGTTCAATTCAGATGAGGCTGTAAGTTAGCATCTTGTTCAGTTTTTTGCAAATGAAGGCAGGTCCTTCTTTGAATGAGGAATTATGAAGCTTACTGAAAGATGGCAAAAGGTTATCGAACAAAACTGGCAATATATCATTGATTGATCTTTATTCTTTTTTTTTTTTTTGGCAGATTTAGACATTATTTCATATATGTTCTCACAGCCCCTCATCCACCACTGTCTCTCATCTTGTGATTGTTCTCCTTTCCCAAATTAATAATACATGCAACAGGCAGACGCGGGAATATTTTTTTGACTTTTAATGACTGAAGCAAAAAAGATCTAAAACCTCAGCTTCTGGAAGAACCATTTGTTCTTGCCGGTCTTGTACCTCTCTTCGAACTTGACCTTGGCCTCCCGTCGGGCCTTGCGTTTCAGAGCAGGGTCTCTGAAGACATCTTTGTTGACAACAGTTTTGTCCAAGGGGATATCCACAGAATACCTTGTGGGCATGAGATGATTGTAGTTATAAACTTTCATAAAGGATATGATCTTTGACCTCTTAGCAATTTTCTTCTTGCCCATGGCAGCTGTCACTTTTCGGGGATAGCGGTCAATTCCAGCCACCAGAGCATGGCTGTAGGGGCGGTCTGAGGTGCCATCATCAATGTTCTTCACGATGACGGCTTTGCGTCCGGAGTAGCGTCCGGCCAGGACCAGCACCACCTTTCCAGGTTTCATAAACTTGCCCATTTCGACAGCAGCCACTGGGCTGATCTTTATTCTTTATATAAGTAAATGACCTTTGAAAAATGTAGACAAAATACGTCATGACTTTTCCGACAACCCAATATATTGTATGTTTGTACAATATACAAATGTAATGTTAGGGCCTCACCTTTGTGTGAATCATTACAGTACAGGAGTCAGAAAAAAGGAAATGTAAGTGGTAGATATCCAAAGGGGGGGTGAAGCACCAGAAAATCAGAAAAGGCCTGATAATGCTGCCTTATCCATAATATGGCAAAATCTCATGGACAGTCCAGTCCAAAGACCTGCTTTAGGAAGTTGACCTATATTGAGCTTGGAGTTCTGGGAAAATAAAATATTTTGATTGGATAAGTTCTCCAGGCAGCTGGG